AAGAGCAAAGGCCTCTATATATAGGTCTTAAAAGAAACTAAAAGACACTTTTTCCCCTTGGGCTTATATAAAAAAAATCCCTTAAGTAAGGGTAAAAAGAAAAATGCATAATTAAATAAAAATTACATTTAATATAATAAGATAAAATGAAGGGATCTCGGCCGTCGATCTTGGTCTCTTCCTTTGATTAATGCCCACCGTTGGATGTCCGCATCAATTATTCTTCTCAAAAATATATAAAAGGTTTATGGTTTATATTTGTCATGTTTATGTTTAAGGAAGACATTTAGTTATTTACAATCATATAATTTGTTTGTGTATTATTTGATCGCACCAAAAGGACTCAGGTCTTCCTTCTTAAAACATAAACATGACAACAAAAATTACAACGTAAAGACACTTTTCATTGACAAACATGAGACTTTACATATTGACACAACTACACCCTTAAAACTTTTTTTTTTTTTTGATAAGGATAAAGATAGGGCAGGAACCATGGATAGAGAATAAGGGGTAGAAGATCGAGATAAAGTTTTAGAGGGGAAGGAGAAGGAGGTTAACTTGCAAGCTTGTGAAAACCTATAGATTTACATTCCAAAAATCAGTCAAACTCTTACTCTAATTGTAGGAAAACATCCACTATATATAGGGAAGAAAAGAAAAAAACATTTAATGCAATGTAATAAATACACCACCCAAACAACCACTAGGATTTCCTCAAAAACTACAGCAATTAGAAAGCAAAAAAGCAATAGTAAATGGTGGAAAATCGAAGCAAAAATAGTTGCCAAAAGGGGGAAACTAAAGCATCACACGGCAACCAATGGGGGAGAAACTAAAGCATCAACAAGGGGAATATGAAGCATTATTCGACAACTAGGGGGGACCCGAAACTTTGCCTACATCAATTGCCCTCTGATTGAGAGATCTCATCCCCTGATGAGATAGCTTAAGAACTTCTATGACACGTCGAATGAATAACATCCAATTCTTGTATTAAAGCCGCATACTTTCTTTGAATAATTTATTTTTCTTGATTAAACTGATCTTGAAGAAGACGCTTTCTATTTTCATATTTTTCTACACACAAATTCATTTTCTCCTAAATTTTGTATAGTTCATTCTGGATTTGATCGGTAGAACTTCCTTTGGTGGGACCCATGCCATCCGCTTGTTGGAATCTATGATGCACCGACACTTCTGCTCAAAGAGGCGTGCAGTGTCCGACACCGTGTCCGACACGACACTCGTCCGACACTCCTCCGACACGTGTCGGACACGCCGAAAACGTGTCCGATTAAAAAATATTAAAAACAATCTAGACACGCGTGTCCGACACACGTATCTTAAATATTTTATAATTTTTTTAAAATATAATTTCTTATATTTGATGAGATTTAAACTAAATTTCTTATTTTCTATCCACAACACGAAATCAACGTCTGCATTTAATATTCATTCATCGAATATTCTCATTTTCATTTCTCTTTGGCAATGAAGGTATTTTAATCTCCTCTTTTTTGCACAATTACAAATATTTCTCTTCTTGAACCAGAGTTGAAAGCAGTGATATTCAATGATGATGATATTGAAAGCCAAAAACAAACCTCTAAAGCTAATCCTAATAGTTGAAGCTTGAATGCTTGATGTTGTAGTAAGTGATTATTTGCTTATATTTTTGTGGTTGTACTAGATATTTTATACTAAATATTTTATATTATAAGCTAGACAAGTTATCATGTCATTCATTTATTATTATTTGCAATTTTAATATGATATTATATTAATATATATACACTATATAAAAAATGTATTGTCGTGTCCGCGCCGTACCCGTGTCCTATATTTTAAAAAAAAGCCGTGTCCCGTGTCCGTGTCGTGTCATGTCCGTGTCGCCGTATCCGTGTCTGTGCATCATAGGTTGGAATTTTGTCTTCAAGATTAGTTGGATGATTTTAACCAACTACAAATTCTACTTATGTCCACGGTTTCCATTCCATTTGTATCTTTTTTTCTCAAAAATTTTGTAAGTTGAAGGTTGTAATCGCGTCGATATGTCATGTTTCGTGTTTATCTATAAAAAAATGTCTTTTAAGTTGCGATCTTACGTTTATATTTATATTTTAAGAAAGGAAGATCTGATTAGTTTGCAATCTTTAAATTTGGTTGCATCAAGAGTTTAGGCTTGCTTAGAGTTTGGAGTTTTCTTTGTTTTGTTTGGATTTCAATTTTAGGAGTTTGGTGCTTAGTTGGTGTGTGTTGTATTTAGGTTGATTAGTGTGAACAACGATTTTTCTATTATTTTATTCTTTAATTTAAAAGTATGTAACTTCACCAGAGTGGCTCTCCTCGTAGTACTGCTACTTACATTTTTAATTTTGTTTTGTTTTAATTTAAATTTTAAATTAAAATTAATTGTTTAGCTCATCAATTAAAATGTATTTTAAAATTTACTCAATTAATTAAATTTAAATTTATTTGCTCAATTAAATTAATTAATTTGTTTATTAATTAAAAGATTTAGTTTTAAATTAATTAGAGTTTGTTTTCATTTCGTTAATTTAGTAATTAAATGAATTTCCAAAAGTTATTTTAATTAATTAGTTGATTAACTAAGATAAAGTTAAACTCTTAAAAGTTGAGGCGCCTTTTAATATAACGGTTAGAATTTCATTAGAAGCTCTAAAGTTAAGAATGCTCATATTAGAGAACTCTTGGGAGGTGGCAAATCAGAAAGTTACATTGGTGGGATAAAATCGTGAGGTCATTAAGTCAAAGTGAACAATATCTCAATATTTGAGAGTTTGGCCTATTACAAACAATATCTCAAACATGTGAACGCCATTTATTAATGTTATAGAATTGGTTGGGCATTAACAAGAAATATTATTTTGATTAGAGGGGATGAAAGAGAATGGAATTGAGATGGAAGACTTGCTTCTAAAGATTATTTTGATTAGAGGAGATGAAAGAAAAAGAAGGGAATAGAGATGGAAGACTTGCTTCTCCTATCTTATGGCTCTTTGATATGAAAAATTATTCTTCCTGGATTTCAAAGACCCAATAAAAATGTGCCACGTCGCGTACCAGGCTTATACCGAGCGGTACTGAGTACCTGAGCGTAAATCGGACGGTTCTCTTGTCCGGTGTCCACACAGAATAATCTCTCATTTGATACATTATGTGCTAAAAATGCTTCTCAAATACAAAGAATCTTTCTAGGTTTTCTAAGATCCCTTATATTACATCAAGATAAATATTTATCTATAACCTTGGGTTTATCTTCTGCACAGCGGAAGAAAAGAATATCCTTTTATTTTTAATATCCAATGTTTTGTTACAAGTGAAATTGATATAGACAAAGGGGGGGTTAAATCAAACCCAAAAAAATTTGGTTTTGACTTCCCTTGAGCTTGCTAGCTCATTAATTTTTGAGCTGGAATTTAGCTCATTATGATCTAGTTTTTTGTTCATTTATTGAACTAAGAGTTAGCTCATTATGAGCTATGTTTTTAGTTCACTTATTAATTTATTAGTAGCTCATTAATTTTGTCTCTTCTCCTTCCCCTTGTCTAATCGTTTCCCATTGATGGCTCTTGGGTTCCCTTGCCTTGGCTCCTTGGTTCCCACGGCTGCCTCCTTGGTTCCCATAGCTGCCTCCTTGGTTCCCACGGCTGCCTCTTCGGGTTCCGCCTGGGCTGTTATCCCGTGGCTGATGGGGGGGCTTTTCCGTGGCTTTGGTGCTTTATTTCCTGAAGTTGACTGTTGGATTTTCATTTCCCTCATTTATATTATGAATATGAAAGGACATTGTGGCTGTTTGGTTTCTCTTCTCTTGCCTATAAATATGAGTTGGTTTGTGGATGTTTTAGCAAGTGATGATTTGATTTTTTGAAATATAAACCTGCAGGTTTGTTGTTTGGAAAAGCTTGCGAGCTTTGTCCAAATTCCCTCTTTCCTTCTCTCTCTGAGAAAGCTTGCGAGCTTGTCTCCACTTCGTCTTGGCTTCTAACCTCTTTCGTCTCTTCGCAAGTGTCATTCCACCTGTATCCTTCTTCTCAAAGAAATGCAACTTTAGGTGTTTGTCTTGTTTGAGTCATTTGTAAGTGTCTAAGTTTGTAAGTCTTTTATATTATGAAGAAAAGTTGTTGTTTTTAGTTTATTCGTGTATTTTGTGTCTTTTCTATTACTTAGAAAAGTTTGTTTTTGTGATCAAAAATTTGGGGCCCTCTCCCAAATTTTGATTGCATCAGAAATGACATGGTCAAATACATAAACATATATTGTACTATGATTTAGGAACTTCTAGGCATGTGGGTAGAAAGTAGTCGACCATCGCTTAAGGATTGAGTATCGCTTAATGGTTTTAGTCATGGATTCAGCAAAGCTAACTATTATGTGTCATACCTTTGTTCTGAAGGACTTAATCCTACAAACTTTCTATTGGAGGTAAGTCGAGATGTCTATGTCAAATTGAGCTGAAAGGCTTAATTGCTGCGGTATCGGATTATGTGTGCGCTGAGCTCTCTATGATGATTGTTCTAAGGGGATTCGATCATTATTGAATTAACAAGTGATAGGATTGAGTCATTCAAGCTAATCTTGGCCAGGGATGATACTTTGTGTTATTTGATGGAACCCGAGCGATTGGATCCCATCTAATGCCTATCTGGCAAAGTTGAACGATCTGCGTCTTTGATGACGGCGGATGCCTGTAGGGACACGACGTAATCTTATCAGGCTGGCGGAACAGCAGACCAGTGCAGGTGTAATGTGCGAGACAGGAGGGGTGATGTGAAAGCCTATCATCATATACAAATGCCATTCAAGTTCAAGAAATGTTGAGATATGATTCAAACGAAATCGGGCAATTTTACAAACAAATTAAAGGAAGTTCCGTCTGATAGAGTATGATCCGACTTCTTTCTTAATAACCACCAGAAGCGTGCATTGTTTAAGCAGCATTAAAAAAACAACTTCCTCAAGGCGCGAGAATGTACCGCAAAAGACATCGGGGAGCTCCTCCATGAATAGTGGACTCCATCCCTCCATAATCCTCCGTGGAATAATCATTGGGTCATCCACAAATTCTTCAGTCCTCAGACCTTGCATGCGGTCCACAATCGAAACCATGTTTTCCTTGGAAATAATCTCCATAACCGGGTTAGCTCCAAGAACACTATACCGGCCCTGAAACCCGGAAAAGCTCGTTATTAATCACAAATATATTAAACAAAATGAGAGGAAGTAGGAGGTAAAGGCACCGACGACGCTGCTTCCCGTCAAACCCTGCTCAACGGACTCGAAGAGGAAGCTAGGGGACTCGGTGTCGTCCTCCTCGACGAGGCAACGGTAAGCTAGTATGGGGGTTAGGTGATCACAGAAAATGCAACGGTAGAGCGGGACCAGGTTGCTCCCCATCTCGACGGCGTATGCGAACCTCGCCAGCTCCTCCTTCTCCACTGTCGGGACTAAATAACAAATTGAATTAGATGGTTTCTCTAACGGTAGCGAGCTAAGCTGCTTACCTGAGACGGAGGAAGAGAGAGCAGCAGCGAAGCATTTTAAATGGGGGCGGTGGGAGAAGCCGAGCAACGGGTGGCGGGTGGTCCCTGTCGAAGTGGGGAAGGCAACGACGCCGTGGCTCAGGCTGAATGAAGAGACACGAGACGACAAAGCTAAGGCTCCCATCACGATGGCGAAGAGGGAGATGGCTGAAGAAAGAAGTTGAAAATGGTTGGGAGCGGAGGAGTTTATGTAAGCCATGGAGACAAGGGAGGGAAGTAAGGTCAGGACGAGCCCAGTAGACGGGCTGAGAGTTGCTTTTACGGATCCAAGGGCCCCGTGCATTGAATAGCTTTAGGTGCGGACTGGGGAGATGGAATGGTAGTTTCGCTGTACTCAATGCTGTTTAACCTTCCACCGTTCATCCTTTTACTTTTTCTCCCGTCAAGCCAGAGAGGATAGGCCTGCATTTACTTGGATCAGAATATAGCATTTATGATACCTGGTTTAATACTCTGGCCATCGGCAGCCATACCACGGCCAGGCTGGCCCCAGCATCTAACGCCGCGGCAAGACCTCGCGGTCGCGCAGCACGGAGGAAGGCGGGAGATTCGGTGGGCATTTATAGCTTCTGTCCGCAGCTCCTAGTCAGTAGTCAGTTCCTACGGGCGGTTAAGGGACGAGCGTCTTATTTAAGAGAAAAGGAATTATTCTACGCGGACTTTATTTAAGAGGATAAATTATTATGTCCGGCCGGACTACACTAAGGTTTTGTTTGGGACGGTTTTTTTACGGCTTTCTAAAATAGAGTTTTAGTACAAAAATAAAAAATTTTGTACTAAAACTCCGTTTTAGAAAACAGTAAAAAAACCGTCCCAAACGAAGCCTAAGATCGTCCCATATATTTGAAAGTTGTCGCCGTCGATATTTAAAATATATTATAATGCTTTAAATATCGGACCGGATCAGCCGGTTCGATCATGAACTGGTCACAAGATCGGACCGATTTAGTTTTAAAATTGCTTCTGCATTAAACCGGACTGAACCGATCAGAACCGCTGGTTCAACCGGAGAACCGGTGAATAGGATCCAATTATTTTGAAATCCACAATATAAACATGTAAAATATATTTAATCATATAATATATATTATGTTTTATTAGTTTTATAAATTATGTTTTATTATTTTTCACTTTTTTCTATCTTGTAGTCCAACCCAACTCAAAAAGATCGTCCTCAAATAATTCAATTTAGGATTGCGCTTCTTTTTTTTTTCAGGATTTCAGCGGCAAAGCATCGCAATATATAAAGACTTTTTACAAAAAATTTCATGTAAGCTAAGAAAGAAAGAACATAAAAATTGTCGATGAGTATGGATCATTCTTATTGCGGGTCAAAATATACGTGGCGATAGAGTTAGAAAATTTATGGCTCAGCGTTGTACGGATATCCAGCACACAAATAGGAAATGAAATAACAACACCATGATTTTTATGTGGAAAACCCTGAAATGGGAAAAACCACGGGGACATGCCCAGTTAAAAGAGTTTTACTAGTGTTTGCTTGAAATACAAGAGGCTGACTCGTCCTTAAAATTTAGGACAATCAGATTACAATAAATCGCTTTTGGATTGAAAATCAATTACAACATCGGGCAGAGTTTCGGTGTCACATGGAGATCAGGCGGAATTTTGGCATCACTCGAACATTAGGCAGAATTCCAGCGTCACTCGGGCATCGGGCAGAATTCCGACGGTGGTCGTGGAGGAGTTTCTTCCCTCTAATCATTCTTTTCTTCTTATCTTCTTTTTCTTGTTTTGGTCCCCTCTCAAGAGAAATGAGGGGATATTTATAGTTTTTGAGAATGGCATGGCTAGTAAATAGATGAGAGATCAGGGGTAAATGAGGAGTGGTTGGATGGACGATCAATATTGAATCCCTTAATCGTGTACTGTTTGTCAGATATTTCATAGTCTTAATGATGTCAGAATTTGGCAGTCTTGGACTCGTTGGATTCATCTCGTCAAGCCATTCTATTCGATTATAAGCACATCATATTTGAAAATTGTTTGGTAACTCAAATTATGGTTAGAACTTTCCAATAATGCTTCAGTTGCTTGATCTGGACTCATTTGGGCTCGAATTTGGTGTCTTTGAGTTAGTAAATTTCTAAGACGCTCAGTTTGACTATAAGTTTGCTAAAATCATAGTTCAGGTGATCCCTGGTTTAATTTTATAAGTTTTAAGCTTGATTTTGCCTTGAGATTCATGCCTAATCAAGATAATTTTTAATGATATATCAGTTGATCTCCTATTTTCAGACGTCGAAGCTTCACAAGTATGAAAATACGTGTCACAAACTTCGGAGAATTTTCCATGTGATTTGAAATCCGATCTTGCGTGTAAGAGCCTGAAATGGCTTTACAATTGCCAAAATTAAGTATGGAACGTTGAAAAATAGTCCGATTTGGCCTTTCCGACTAAAAAATCAAATATGAATCCATGTAGACAGTCGAATCGGTGGCCGCTGCCACCACCGACCGCTGCTGTCGTAGTCGTCAGCAGTAGAACCGCGCTCTCGGCCCGCCGCGACCCGCCTATGGTCAGCCTGGCTCCACGTGCTACTGGCCTGCCCGCGGCTCGCTCGACCAGCCTGCTAGCTGCGTCTGCATCCTGCGCATAGCCCACCCGCTGCCTGGTAGGTACGCGCCTGGCTTGCGCGGTGTCGCGCACCTCTTGGTGGCCGGTCCTAGCCGTTGGCGGTTAGGAAACCGCGAGCCCAATTTGAGATATATATAAACAAATTTGAAAATTTACAGGAATTTCTAGAAGCTTCTTCCCTCTCCAAAAAAAAACTATAAATACCCCCAGGGCCAGGGAGAAACTTGCACCTTCTCCTCTTCTCCTTCTAGCTTTTTGATAGTTGAGGATTTCAGCTATTTCTTAGTTACTTTTCTTATGTAACTCAACGCCCCTCCTATTGTACAGAAGTGGAGATTTCTCATCTTCTTCCTTATTTCTCCCTCATTTTTCTTCCTACTCTAGAGGCTTTCCACTATCTTTCATAGGTAATTTTTCCTACTCAAATTTAACGCTCCTCTTCAGTGCAAAAGGAAATTTTTTTCAACTGTTTCTTTTCTCTCTCATCCATCGTTCTAACTTTCTAACAGCGGAGGCATTCCATTATTTTTCGTATGTGACTTTCCCTTTGCAAAATCAATGCCACTCTCCTCGTGTAGAAGTTACAATTTTTTATAGTCATTTATTTTCTTTCTTCTCTCGTATTCTAACCTTCTTACAGTTGAGATATTCCTCTATTTTGGTAAATGGCATCCCTACCCAAATTCAGGGACTCTCTTCTTGTGTAGAAGTTAGAATTTTTTACAACCATTCTTCTCATCTGGTGTTCTTCTTACATTGGAGGTATTCCACTATCGTAGATAGGCGATATTACCCTATTAAGTTTTAGTGTCCCTCTCTTGTATATAAGGAGATTATTTCCTCTTTATTCTTCTCTTATTTGACAAAAGAAGATCAATTTATGCTTGTATGTTAGGGTGATTTGAGAAGATATGGCGATCATAGCGTCCTAGAGGAGAATCAGAAGTGATGAGTAAATGGGGATAATTTCAACGTCATTTGAACGGAAGTCTATCAGCGATGGACGATCGAGTTGAAGCCTATTAGCAGTTAACGACTGAGTGTAGAGCTGAAGGAGAGAGTTCGAGGGTGTGCTTCTAGTAGCAATCGAGCAATAATTTGATGATGAATAATATGAAGTAAAGGACCGCCAATAAATATCAGATGAACGCCCGATGATGGCGGGTATCTAGTGGCATTTTGCAAATATAATATGCATCCATACAAAAGTTTGCTGATATTAGATATCTCTGATTCAAAGAGCCAAAGTAGTGTGCTATGTTAGTAGTCTGGCGATGCACTTATAGTATCAATTGAGTTGAGGCCTGATGAAGATCAAATTATGATCTTTCTTTGAAGAAGAAGTTGTAGAAGATGCTTCAATGTGCAATAGATAAGAGGTCAATAGAATATGTTAAAGATATTTAACCTTTTTGAAGTTGTTTGTTATTTGATGACTTGTACATATGATGCAGATATACTTTTAATTTCAGCTTGAGAATAAATGTACACTTGAACTTAATGTACAATTTTGTAATGTAACTCTAATGATATTGTATATAATGTTGAGATTATTATATGAGCTTGATGCTTATTTTTCATTTAAAATGAACTTGTCCTAAAAAAAACTACGTTGTTTATGTCTTTTTGATATATACTTTGATATATATATATATATATATATCTTCTTTTCTTTTTGAGATTTTTTAGCCTGCTAAGATTTTTGTATTCATGTGTGGAAGAGGTCGAGAGAATCCACTAAGGATATATGACCTTTCCAAGGTTTTGTGTCAAAATATTGCTCGATAATATTAACCTGTGTGAAAGAGGTTGAGAGAATCCACCAAGGCACAAAGGATGTAAGATATATCAAAGATTGTATGTCAGAGTCTTACTCTGTGACGTTAACCTATATGGAAAAGGTTGAGATAATCCACCAAGGATATATGAATTATCCAAGGTTGTATGTCAGAGCCCTGTTCGATGACGTTAACTTATATGAAAGAGGACGAGAGAATCCACCAGGATGTAAGATCTATTTGAGGTTGTATGCTAGAGCCCTGCTAGATGACGTTAACCTATATAGAATATGTCGAGATAATCCACCAAGGATGTATGACATATCCGAGGATGTATGTTAGAGCCTTGGTCGATGACGTTAATCGATATGAAAGAGGTCAGATCAAATTCCCTGAAATTGCTCATCCATTGATTGAGACATAATAAAAATTATGTATTTCCCAAATCATGGATAAATATATTATATTCATCAGTAGTTTTTATTGTCATTTTTTATCATTTTAAAAGAATGAGACAATATTAGAACGCAATGAACAACACGCTACTATATCATGTAAGACAATACAACAAATCCCTAGACAACACATCATTTAACTTGGAAGAAAATACTAGAGACATTAGAGTGATACCCTACTTATCATAGAAGAGATACACGATGACAAGTAACTAACACAAAGGCCCAAATTATACGATTATTTAATCTTACCAACCATTTAAACATTATTTAATGGTTGTCTTTCTTGTTGTTGATTTTTCCCCTCAGTAAATCTTGAATGAACTGTCGAAGATAGTCTTGCCGGACAAGTCTCTCAATTTCATGTTTGAGTGGCTTACAGACTTCAGTGGTGTGCCCACGACTATGGTGGAAATAATAATATTGATCCTGATTTCTCATATTTGATTTCAAAGGATTATATGACTTGATATTTTCTTGATCGCAAATGGACATTAGTACATTGGTTTGAGATGTGTTGAGAGGCGTATACTATTTTTCTTGTCGAAACTTGTATCGTGGCAATGGTGGCAGGCTATTATTCCCTTATTTCTTCTGTTGTGAAAATGAATTCTCTAATGTATGAGCAATTTTGTGTTTCCTGAAAGATTACTAAAATTGCTTCC